CATCTTGTACAGCAATTAACCACTAGGAAGAATGTATGCAATGTGTTAATTATTGAAACTGTCCTACCAATTTGGTTTGAAACTGTCTCATTGCTACTTGTCTCTCAATAAAATTATGGGGAAAAAAAAGAAATTATGGTTTAGGGACAATTTACAAGGTGTATTTATTATTTAATTCTTCTTTTTTTTCCCCCCCTTGGTATTTAGTACAGGGCCTACAGGATCTCACTACACAGATCGGATTCATAGTGTTTCTCCTGTTTTCAGCCTCCCAAGCACTGGGATTATAGGAGCGCGCCACCACACCCAGTCTCAGTCCCATCTCAGGCATTTCAGGGAGGGGACTGGCACGGCATGCCAGGAATCCATCCCTGGCTGCTGCGCTCTGCCAAAGCAGGCGCTTTAGTCCGCTTGAGCTGTCTGGCCAGCCTTTACTATTTAATTCTTAACGTGAGCCAAGTGCCCCAGTCACTTCACAACCTCTGTGTTCCATTTTCTAGCTCTCTAGGAGATGTTGAAATAGCTGACGTGCATGTCAAGGGTTTATTTGTGAAGCTCATTAACTCCTCCCATGACAGAGAAGCCGAGATTGGAAACCACGTCCTGCAACAAAACGTGAAAGGACAGGCAGTGTCTCGGTACCGATTCCTCCCCAACATCGTTATGCAGGCCGGTTCCACAGTGACGGTGAGCGCGGGACCCGCATGTCACGACAAACTCCCTCCACTGTCCCCGTGATCTGGCCCTGGAGGCCTTTTCACCACTGGGTCGATCCGTAAGGTGGGATCTCGTCGGTGGCACTGGTGGTAAATTGAGTGGTGTAGCTTACCTGTGGATGTAAATTACTACCCACAAGGAAATTCCCACAGCGTTTTCCATTTACTGTGCAATATCTTCTGGTTTTGTCATTTAACTATTTAAATGGATTTCCTAAGTTCAGGAAATTAAGCAAGCATGCCCTTAGAAGACAAGCAAAGGGATCATTTGCCCAGAGAACAGACGGTAAAAGGTTCTCCTCTTTCTTTTACTGTCCCTTAATGCAGCCTTTTGCAGTAGCTGTTTGGTGTCACAGAACTTGGTGGTATATGTATGGTCATTATATTTTAAAGGCTCATCTGAGTTGGGCCTGGTGACACTAGCATCTGTAACCCCAGCTACTCAGGAGGCTGAGGCAGGAGGATCTCTTGTGTTCAGGCATTTGGAGTACAGCTGGGCAACAGGCCTCCTGAAATCTCACCTGTTCAAAAAGACAAAGTTGACACTTACAGAGCTGTGTTGAAGTCTACTGGCATTTGTCACTAAAAACATTGCGGGTTCTTTGCAGGTGTGGGCAGCAGCGTCCAAAGGGAAGCACCGGCCACCCCTTGACTTTCTCTGGAAGGAGCAAAGCACATTCAGAGCAAGTCCGGATTGCACAACGATCCTGTGCAAGCCTCACGGTGAGGTCAGTGCCTGATTGTCACAACCACTCTGATGGAATAGCAGTCTCCCTCGTGTTCCCCTTCTCCCTCAGGTCCCAGTCATTTTCCCATCCTGAAAAGCTCCGGGTGGAATCCCTGGTAAAGGCCAGAACGCATCAGGCAGATGAGCACCACACTCCTCCCAATCCCAACGCCCTCCAAGGAGCTGTTTACAGTTGGACAAACGCAATTCTGATAATCCCACTTGTCTAAGAAGCGACTTCAAAGTCAAGGATAGGTTTTATTTATAGTAGTCTAAAAAGGAGCACAAGAGAGATAGTACGTACTGTCCTTTCTGTTTACTTACTTCTCAGGTATTTATAGAGATTGTTTATTCTTTGGTCTATCTTAAGTAATGGAAGTAGAATATGTAGCGACTGCTCCCCAGGGGCAGATATTCTAGGAAAAAGAGCTTATGGCCTTGATTTTAAGAAACTGTGCTTTAATGCCTGTAACACTGACTGTGTGCAGGCCTGGGTGTGGTGGTGATTGCTTGTGGTCGCAGCTGCTCAGAGGGAGTGGATCACAAGTTCAAAACCATCCTGCGCAACTTAGTGAGACCCTATGTCAAAAGTTAAATGAACAAGGCTTAGGGTATAGATCAGCACTAGAGATTTTTTGGTTTGGTTTGGGGTTTTTTTGGTGGAATCGGGGATTGAACTCAGATCCTTGAGCTTGCCAGGGAAGCACTTATTCCACTGAGCCATCTCCCGGCCCCAGCACTACAGTGTTTGCCCAGCAGGCACAAGGCTCTGGGTTCCAAGCCCAAAACCACAACAGTGAAAATGATAATAATAAGTGTAAGAGAAATACCTTTATGTAACTTATTCCCAGCATTTGACAATTTTATATTTTCATTCAGCTTTTTCCTTACCACAATATTAGTATAAATATATAACCAAGGACATACCAGCAAGGCTTTTTAGAAGTGTCTTCTCTTTATAACAACAAAAAAGTTATTTTTTTAATTCATATTTTTCTTAATTTTTTTTTGCTTCTCCGAATAACTTACTGCGTTATGTATCTACTAACCCACTATGTTGATCAATATCAATATAATCTTTTCTTGTTATATTATACTTAATGCCTAAACTGGCTTTTCCATTAGAATAGAGTTAGCTAATTTATTAAAAAAAATTAATGTCCTCTGAGGAGTTGTCACCAGGTGGAGAGAACACTTATTAGATGTAATGTGACAATTTTGCTCACTTAGCTTCAGATCTCTTTGAGGGCTCAAGCTGGATGTGAGGATAATTCTAATGATTTTCATTGCTTGGAAAAATAAGGTTATATAATCTACATTATATGAACAGACTTAGGAGAAATTACTAGCAAAACCCATATTAGGGTAAAGGCATTCTAAACTTTCACCATATTTATCCACTGTGTGACCAGGGTTGTGGTTTCTATGCTGTCTGTGGCCACTTGCCAGTAATTAGCATTGAGCCAGGCATCCCCAGTCCTGAGCTGCTGGAAGGTCCATCATAGTAAATCGTCATGCCCCGCAGCCTGACGAGACTCTGTACTGGGACTGTCTCTGCTACCCAGCGGTTTGAAGTACTTTTAATAGGATCAAACCACTTGTGCAAGATGATGTTAACATGAATGATTGTACTTGCTTGTAACTTTCAATATGAGAGACTCATATTGAAAATATTTATAGGGCTGGGGAGATAGCCCTGTGGTCTAAGCGCCTGCCTGGCAAGCTCAAGAACCCGGGTTCGATCCTTGGTACTGCATGTCATGCTGGCTGCAGAACCCTGGGTGTGCTGGGCCACCAAAACCAGGCACAGAGGTGCATGCTTGCAATCCCAGGGCTGGGCAGGCTGAGACAGGAGAATCACTATGAGTCCAAGTTGCATAGCAAGGCCCTGTATCAAATAAGTAAATAAGTAAAATTTTAAAAAGAAAATATTTGCATCTGCTTATCTGTCAACCATGATGGGAGATGTGCTGGGGAAAATATAGGTTGAGTAGATCTTATCTACAGGAAACCAAGTCTATTATTAGTGGAAACTAAATGAAACTTCAAGAAAATTGCGATACAGTAAAATAATTGAAGAAAATATGAGCATGACAGATTACATCATGGTGCTCAGGTCGTAGATGTCGATGATGTAAATGAGAGTCTAGAAAAGCACAGAGAGGGAGAAACACTTATTGTGAGCCTGAAGGTGAGAGAGAGTTTGGCTGGCTGAACTTGACGTGAAAGAGATGTTGGGCCTCTCTTTGCACCTCTGTTCTCACCTTCCCTGTGTCCTCCATTCCCTCTGTTCTAAGCGCCCCAGTCTCCTTTGACTACCTTTGCGTCCCAGTTCTTGATCCCTCCTGTAAACCACAGGGCCTCTGCTCATGCTCTTTCTGCTCCAGGGATTCTCCTACTCTTCTTTCACCTATTAAATCCTACCTGTCCTTGAAGACTTGGGCTCAAGCGTTGCATTCTGAATCACATCTTTGAGTCATCTTGAAAGCCTAGTGTAAACACAAAATCCTTTCATAACCAATCCATTCCCACTCTTACCTCAGTAATACTGGACCCCACTATCCATAATAGTCAGACTTTCTTTGAAAAAAGAGCTGCTACAGGTAAAACGTAGGCAGCTCAAAGCTTCATCAGGGCCCCGGATTGAAGTTTTCATTTAATTTCTAATTATGTAATCTATGTACAAAAAATAATCATTTTTTCCAGAAAAAGTCAGAGAGCTAGATGTCTTCTATCTGAAACAGAAGGCAGGCCAAGAGATTAGAATACGTTCTATTTCTCCCTCATGTACCACTTGTTTTATCAGGTAGGACAAACAGATACTATAGTACATGTCATTCTTAAAAAGAAACCTTGAGCCTTGAAAAAGTGTGACTTAGATTTCTTTTTCACTCACCTTATCCCTGACATGGCAATGGTTAATGTTCATCTAGGTTTTAGTTTTGCTCCAGCACAAGTTAACTATGTAACTGCTGTTTTTTCATCTGAAGCAAAGGACTGTACAACGAGGATTCTATGAGTCTATGGATTTTTAGAACAGGGGTAGAGATTTTTGCCCACCAGTGGTGCTATTATCCCATAGGGTTTGTAGCACTATTAATTAATTAAAAACAGATGTCTTCATGTTTGCTCAATGCCTGACTTCCTTGTCCCTAGCTTTGGACTCTAGATCCAAACCTGGAGCCACTGTGCTACATAGTAGGAGCTCACTGAAGACCCAGCTGTGTGTGCATCTTCTTACTTGGCTCTCAGAAATGTTCCAGTATTTTACAAAGGAGGAGATGGGATTTTGAAGTTACATGCTTGCTCCAAATCATGTGATAACACAACAAAACCATATATTTTAACTCCAAGATTGTTTCTGTTGTACTATAAAGAGCCTACGAGGTTCTTCTCACCAACATTCCAGAGACAAAGTTAAATTTGATCATGTTCTCATCATGACTAGCCTGCGTGTTCATTCTCTACAGTGCAGGGAGAAATAAAATAATGTTCCTGTCTCAGAAAGGCTTATAGTATAACTGAGAGAGATTATGGGCTTACTGATCACACGGAAAGGATCATGACTACAAAGATCATATTGTTGTCAACGTAAATATTAATGTTCAGACTATTGGTAGAAAAGGATCCCTAACTGCCCATGCACAGGAAAAGTGGGGCTTTCATACTGTTATTCATGAAAACGAACATAATTGTTTTTCATTTCCTTTTCTTCTGTTATAGGCCTTGCCTAGCTGAACTTGCCCCCACTATCTTTATGTCTATTTAATTTGTCACGCCAACCTTAGACTGGTAAAAACATAAAGCCCAAA